GCACTTAGACTTTGCTTCTATACAGGAATGTAGTCGTGATTTGAAAACGCTTGAGAGCGTGTACTAGAGCTATTGAGCTTCATATTTGCGCACAGATAATTAGAATTTACAGTTCTAGGTTTATTGTGACAATTTGCGATAATTTAGGGAAAATAAAAAAATAAAGAAAAACTATTCTAAATGTGTCTAACCGGGATTTCACAGGATGAGAAACTTTCCCGGGATTACTTTTCTTTTTTAAAAATCGCCCGGGATCCCGGGAGAGAAACCTTAGTACTGTTAAAACCCAGTGGAGGAGCATAACTATTAAGTTTATGACACCTGGGGGGGGGGGGGGCAATACTACATTTCGATGCCTTAAATCGTGAAAAAAAAAAATCTTACATAATTTAACATACGCATATATATATATATATATATATATATATATATCAGCATATGACATAGACTAAATAGTGGCACCCGAGGTTGACAGCAGATCCACCCCCCCCCCCTCCCCGTTTCCTTCTTCCTACGCCCATGATTCAACGCTCTGATGTCAAACAACACTTGTCTCCACCACTCGAATTACTCCCCCTCTCAATAGGGAATCTATGTCGGGTTGTTGTTTTGTTTTGTTTTTTTGTTTTTTTTTGTTATACTTGGCAGTTGACTTCAAGATTTTTAAAATAATAATAATAATAATAAAATTGAACTAAAGCAGTTTCTTATGTTTCGTACTCTCATTGATTGATACATTCCTATAAATATCTCCGCCAATGGTGAGTTGCCAACAAACCCCCCCCCCCCCCGCCCCCAAGTGGCTCTGCGTGGACAGTGCTAATCCTAAGTGCGGTCAAGAGTGTTGCGTCATGTCATCCAAATGGACAGCTGCAGTTTTGCTAGATGTGATTCGGGGAAATATTTCAAATGTTTGAAAACATCTGCAGACAATGAAAGGGCTACCCCCCCCCTCCTTTTTCCCAGTATAACCCATACCACTATATCGAACCTTCGTTGGACAACGAACTTTCACTGGAAAACGAACCTTCAGTGATTACGAACTTGCACGTAATATCGAACCTTCAAAACTTAGGCTAGTCTACTATTTTTTTTGATGAAAATTTCAGTCCATATTTTTATTTTGACACCTAAGTCTCAATAATTTAATTTTGCAATGGGGAGCATGGCTTTTTGAAAGCACATGTTTTAGTTTTAAGTTGATGAATGGTGAGTAGAGTTGGATGGCAACAACCTGCTCTTCAATACAGCGATCCATGAGGCCTGAGGCCTACTAGTTCATTCTCTTACAATACAGCCCACCAATAGTTGTGTTTATACAAAAGCTATATTTCAAGCTGCAACTAAATAGATGTGTTGTTTTATAATAATTTTTTTAATATTAAACTATTTATTTCGTTAAACATCTATAATAATTATATCTTTTTTTAAATATACATAAAAATATATATTTCCACGCAAAAAGCAAATCCAAGTTTTACGAGATACAAAAATGAAAGAAAAACTCTTCAGTAGAATAATACTAAATACCGACTTTTATAAATTGTTTTAGAGTAGGCCTACAGTAAACAAACAGTCCTAGTTTCAAAGTTGATCTTATATTATAAAGAAATAGAAATTAAAAACATAATGCCCATGTTTGATAGTTAGCTAGAACTAATTCAAAATATAGGCCTTTATAGCGCTGGAAAGTTAGTTGAATACCGTAGTGTTCCAAGCCTAGGCTGCACTTTTCCCGAAATAGTAGATCTTCTGTGGAGGAGGGCTGTGTTCACCCCACCTTAAAAAAATACTGGTTGTAAATAATAAATAAATAAAAGTACCAATTTATGTGCACAACGGGAAGTAGTGGTGTGTCTTCAACCAAGTTCACAATTTTACCTAGCTGCAAAGTATTTTTACTGTTTGCTCTACTGTAAATTTAATTGATGCAAATTAGTGCGTAGCTAGGGGGTTCGGGCAGCACCGGGTGACACCATCTCAGGGGCACGAGGGGTGGACTGGGCCGCCGGGAAGATTCACGATGGGCCGCTAGGACCGGTGATATAATAAAAATAAAAGTCATGAAAATAGGGTCGCATTTTGTTGTTTTTTTTCCCGGGCCGCTTGAACTCCCCAGTCCACCCCTGCTCAGGGGTGACATCACGTTGAAAAATTGCATATTTACAGGACACACTGCTCGGTCTAATTTCATTTCATGAAAGAATAACCAATCACACGTGAACGTTCCACACATGTAACCAATCCAAATGCGTGCTTTGTTCAAAGTTGATGCCTCAGAAATTATGTGACCCTAAAATTAGTTCAATTAAGATAAAATAAGATTCTTTTATTGATCCAAATAAATGGAAATGTTTTTTGATTGCATTATACATTTTCAACACATCAATAAAACAATTTGAACACAAGACATTTATAATAAATTATTTCAAACAGCCATTCAGTGAGTTCTCTTAACCAAATCGGGGACTTATTAGTTCTCATAAAGATATATGACTTCAGAGGTAGCACGCCAGTAAATTCGTACAGATTGGGGAACAAAATAATTTTTTTATCTTTCAGTCCTCAACCTGGTGGAAAGAATTCGTCCCGAACGCCCCGATCCTAAGTATGTGTGATGAAGAGGATTGGATGTATCATCCAAAATGTGTTTAGTTTTACAAAAACATCTTTCTTCAAATAGTTCTTCAAGTTAAGTGTTTAGTTTGTGTTATGTTTCTAGCTTTCTTGATTAGACGGTTTATGCAGTGTTCAATATCAGACGTTGAATTCCCACACCAGCAGGTAATACTGAAATTCCAATAGTTGCACTGTAGAATAAGTTAACGACTTGTTTACGCCGAAATTGCAGTTTTTTTTTTTTTGAGGTAGAACAGTCTTTGGTTGAATTTCTTATACAGCGTTTGGCCGTGCCCATGCCATGTTAGCTTATTATTAATGGTGACACCTAAGTACTTGTATGCCTCCACGTTCTCTACACTTTGATTTTTTTTATGTTGAGATCTGTAATCTGGTGTTTCCCCCTCCTGAAATCAACAACCATTACCTTTAGTTTTTGAGACGCGCAGCTGGAGAAAATGTTCATCGCACCAATTGATAAAGCTTGTCACTAAGTTACGGTATAGACCTTCTCCTTCAGATATTAAGCCAACAATGGTGGTATCATCAGCAAATTTTAAGATTATTTGTATGAATACGAGAAGCTTTGTTTTTAGGGGTTGTTTTTATTAAATCATTTATATTATATAACGTTTTTTTTTTCGTGTGTTCCTGTGGTTTTTTTTTTTTTACAAAATATTCGGAAGACTAAATGGCATACTGTCCATCACCCTATCGGGCTAAAACTTGGCACATGGATTCGTTGCCAATGACAACATATTCAGTCCCAACCCCAACCCAACCCCCCCAAAGATCAGTTTATCCTGTTTTTCAAGGGGACGCTAATTGACCCACTTCCCGTCATCCCGTTGAGCTGAAACTTGGCACATAGTTTCGCTGCCGATGACAACACAATCTTACAACTATTCATCCTAAGCCCCCACCCCAAACCTTCCCACCCCCCCCCCCCCCAAAAAAAC